TGAGTGAGGGGTTGGAAACCCGCGGAAAGGAAGGTGTGTTGGTCAGTTCGCCTCTCGCCCCATCACCACTATGTTGTATTACGACTGGACAAATGTGATATTTTCTGGAATAAAGGATTTTTCCCATAAAAAACATTTTTTTTTTGGTTACACCTCTCTGACTGACAGCTATTTTTATCGGCAAGCAGTTGTTTTCCTCTGCCCGTAATTTAAGGTCATAAGTGATGCCCTTGGTTCTCCACTTAACCGGAGCTTCAGATACAATTCCCCAGACCTCGGGTAGACACTCTCAGAAAGGCGTACCTTCTTGGCCTTCTGCAACACTGGTGTATTATTAATTACGAAACTTTTAGAAGAATTTATTGTTGAAACAAAAAATTAATAGTGACACGTAATTTAGTGAGGGCCAAGATTTTCTTGGAGTTCACAATTTCCGTCAAGAAAGTCTTGGCCCTCACCATATTATGTCACTACTAATGTTTTCTCCGTCAACAATGAATTCTTCAAACAGAAATTTTGTTGCAGCAGGGAAAGTCCACTCACTCTCTAACGTACTCGCTAATCTGTACATGGAATACCATGAAACTACCATCCTTCCCTACATCAAACCACCAGGCATGATCTGGTACAAGTACGTTGATGTCTTTACCACATGGGATGAGAGTTTGCGTTTCTTTGACACATTCTTTGAGAATCTTAACCATCTTGTTCCCTCTATACAGTTCAAAATTGACTGGGAAACAAACCGTCAACTTCCATTCCTTGATGTTCTCATCACCAGAAATAACGATCAGGCTGAATTCTCAGTTTAGGAAGCCAGTTCACACTGCCAACTATGTTCATTTCTACAGCCACCATTCAGTGCTCTTCAAGAAGAGCACCGTCTCACGCCTGTTCTTATGTGCAGTCAGCTCCTCAAAGTTAGAACATGAAAAAGAAATCCTTACATTAAAATTCTCTAAATTGGAATACCCCTGACTGGTTTATAAAACAAGGAGAAAAGAAAGTAAATATAAACTAATACAATACATCCCTCACAAAAACCCAACTCCATCTAGCAAATCTCAACTCATGTTACCCTATCACCAAGGTACATACAATCGTCTCAACAAAGTGACCAACATAATCACACACACACACACACACACACACACACACACACACACACACACACACACACACACACACACATATATATATATATATATATATATATATATATATATATATATATATATATATAATATAATATATATATATTATTGTAACCACGAACGAGTGGTATTAATCAATAATAACACTGTGTTAGCCAAGAATTCGAACCCATGTTGTACTGGCCTGCCTCATGGTAAGCGAGAACCACATGACGCTTTAAACCACAGGACCACCCAACCCTAGAAGAATGACGCAGCCAGCACAGAGCTAGTTGTTGCGCCGCCATCCGAGGACATACGGAGGTGTGGAAGCTTCTAAGCTAATTTCATTCTCATCCCTGTTTGGTGTACTAGCCTCACGAGCAGCATTTAAATATTATTGTAACCACGAACACGGTTCGTGGTTTGCGGGTGTGTATGAGGATGTCTAACTTAGTTTATGGGTGCGGATGCGGATGCGGATCCGGATGTAAGAAATTGTGCGGATTTTCCGCGGATACTGATGCGGTTGTAAGAAATTATGCGGATGTTCCGCGGATTCGAATGCATATGTATATGCGGATATCTGTTTGCAGTATAATGGTAAGCAGTTGTAAGAAATCGTGCAGATGTTCCGCGGATGCGGATATCCGATACTTCACTATTGATAATTACTTACCGGGTGCCCCATAAGTCTGGAACTACAGCGGAAATTAAAAAAAAAATAACTGCACAAATAAAGGCTTTTATTCACAAAACTTGCTCCGTGTAAACCAAGCGTTGTGCAGTGCAGGATTATGCCACGATGTTATACCATGAAAATTGAGACGTTGTTGAAAGAAAATCAACTCACTTCTAGAGAAAACGCTTCAGTCGTGAAATTTTATGGCAAACGTTAGTAAATTAAAATCAAATCAAGTTTATTCTCTATAAAGATTACAATGTGGGGTTTACATATTATAGGATATTGTATGGTTTACCTAATTACAGAGAGGGCCACTATCACACCTAGCTTGACTAGGCATTTCGGGCAAACTAAGATTAATTCAAAACGCTATATTCGTAAAGATTATGGAGCATGCTGGTTTTAAGGCTAAGTTTATTCTAACGAAAGTTTATTTAGGCACAGGTACAATAAGTAAGATTTTATTCGGATTTTATCCTGGGTTAAGTAGTGTGGGTCATCCAGGGACTGTTTTATTCCCATTGGGGTCCTCAATCTTGTCGTCCCCCCAAGATGCGACCCACATCAGTCGACAAACACCTACCTGGAGTTTACCTGGAGAGGGTTTCGGGGGTCAACGCCCCCGCGGCTCGGTCTGAGACAAGGCCTCATGGTGGATCATGGTCTGATCAACCGGACTGTTGCTGCTGGCCGCACTCAAGCTGACGTACAAACCATAGCCCGGTTGGTCAGGTGCTGACTTTGGGTACGTGTCCAGTGCCTTCTTGAAGACAGCCAGGGGTCTATTGGTAATCTCCTTTATGTATGCTGGGAGGCAACTGAACAGTCTTGGGCCCCTGACACTTACTGTGTTGTCTCTCAGTGTACTCGTGGCGCCCCTGCTTTTCATCAGGGGAATGTTTCATCTCCTGCCGAGTCTTTTGCTTTCATAGGGAGTGATTTTGGTGTGCAGGTTTGGTGCCAATCCCTCCAGGACCTTCCAAGTATATATTACCATGTATCTCTCTCGCCTGCGTTCGAGGGAATACAGATCAAGGACCTTCAACCGTTCCCAGTAATTTAGGTGCCTTATCGTACTTATGTGTGCCGTGAAAGTTCTTTGTACACTCTCCAGGTCTGCAATGTCGCCAGCCTTGAAGGGGGCCGTTAGTGTACAGCAGTATTCCAGCCTAGAGAGCACAAGCGATTTGAAGAGAATCATCATGGGCTTGGCGTCCCTAGTTTTGAAGATTCTCATTATCCATCCTATCATTATCCTACCGGATAAGGTAGATACTTTGTTGTGGTCTTTGAGGGAGAGATCCTCTGACAGTATCACTCCCAGGTCCTTCACATTACTTTTCCGCTGTATTGTATGGTTAGAATTTGTGGTATACCCTGATACATTTTTAATTTCTTCAAGTTTCCCATATCTGAGTAGTTGAAATTTCTACTCGTTGAACTTCATATTGTTTTGAGTGGCCCATTCGAAGATTTGGTTGACGTCCGCTTGGAGTCTCGCTGTGTCTTCGATGGAGGTCACTGCCATGGTAATCCGGGTGTCACACCCGCAAAGGAAGACACGGAAATATGGCTAACATCTCTGTCTATGTCAGAAAAAAGGATGAGGAATAGGATGGGAGCGAGTATTGTGCCTTGTGGAACAGAGCTTTTTACTCTGTTTACTACAATAACAATAATATCTTTATTTACTACAAACACTACATGGTATACAGGCCAAACTAGCATCAATGACATACTACTATGTAGAAAGCTCCTTGTTATGCTGAACATTTCGGGTAAATTAGGTCAATTATGTCCCAGGATGCGACCCAAATCAATCAGCTAACACCCAGGTACCCATTTTAAACTGATGGGTGAACAGGGACAGGGATAACAAGTGCCTTATGGAAACACGTCCCTAATGTTTTCCAACAGTCCCAGAGGAGATTTAAACCCCATGTACTCGTGGCGCTCCTCCTTTTCATCGGGGGAATGTTGCATCTGTATTTTTTTTATCCTCTACAGCATCCAGGACCTTGCCATAGTGGTCCAGTAGTTGGGACAGGCAGGAGCGACCTGCTCTGAACCCGTGTTGCCCTGGGTTGGTGATCTTGCTTCTTAGAACCCTCTCAAAGATTTTTATGATATGGGATGTTAGTGCTAACGGTCTGTAGTTCTTTGCAATTGCTTTACTGCCACCTTTGTGAAGTGGGGCTATGTCTGTTGTTTTTAGTGTGTGTGGGATGACCCCTGTGTCCATGCTCCCTCTCCACAAAATGCTGAATTCACGCGATAGGAGCTTCTTGCAATTCTTGATGAACACGGAGTTCCATGAATCTGAGCCTGGGGCAGAGTGCATGGGCATGTACCCATTTTATTGATGGGGGAACATAGACAATTGGTGTAAAGAAACACGCCAATGTTTCTACCTTCGCTGAGAATCGAACCCAGACATCTCCGTGCGAAGCGAGAGCTTTAGCCACCAGGCATTTATGTCCTGGAATTTGTATTGATAAAGCCACTGGATGGCGAAACGTCTACAATAAAGATACCCAGATGTTGCACATGTGTCTTAATTTCATCTTGTCGGTATTATATACCATTCTTGCACAACTTGTCAGACACTGCAACATCATGAAATCTTGATTCTAAGGACATGTACATAACCTTCACGACTACGACAACTACTACTACAACTAACCCATCTCTTAGGGAAGGATCTACTTCCACTGGGGAATCCCGCCTACCAGTGACTATGCCCTCGTCTGCTACACCTGACGTTAGTATATAAGCGCCAGGCTTCTTACTTCTGCTTCGGTCATCGACACCATGCCTAACCCTTCTAGGGTAGGGTAGGTGCCTGAGCCCGAGCCTTTAGCTCATAAGACTGTCATTCCCATTAGCCCCCTTGGGGCGGGGATGGCAGACCAGAGAGGCCTAGCTTGTGGCTAGGCCTGGGGACAGTTGGTCCCAAAGATGAGGAGGTACTTGTGCCTCCTCCCATGGGAGACTTAGGTCTCAGACACTCCCTAAAGAGGGAGCCAAGGCCGGCCACCACTTGGAAAAGGCCCGAGCCGGGAGAATACCGGCTAATCTTTAATAATAATAATAACTTCTGCTTCAGAATCTCCACGACTACGGTGCTTTTCGCACCTACTCCTAGGTTGAGGGACTGATTACCTCATCTTATGTATATAGTCTTACTGTCTTCAAATTATGTCCTGGAATTTGTATTGATAAAGCCACTGGATGGCGAAACGTCTACAATAAAGATACCCAGATGTTGCACATGTGTCTTAATTTCATTTATTAATACAATTGAATTTACCAAACCTCATTTCAAAACCCAGCCCGGGCAATTTCACATATATTACCCCCGCCCCTCCCCTTCCCGAAATGCCGCCCATAATAGTCGACCAACACCCAGGTGCCTACTTACTCCTATGTGAACAGGAGCAGGAGGTGTAGGGAGTTGAGCTGTCATTAAAAAAAATTAAATGTACCGTAACTCGGTTGCTAGCGCACTCAGCATACTTATTGCCTGTGGTTCGATCCTGGAACTGATAAAATCGTCCAGTATGTGTCCTTATATATGTTTCCTGTATTTAAGACACCTGTTGCTTAAAGTCCTGTTCTATTGTTTAAAAATGTGACTGAGATATCACGAAAGCACTTTCATTTAGGTTAAACTGCATCATAACAACTTGTATGAAGGACACAGGAGGACGCAGCAAAAGTAGATGGCAGCGCCATCTATTTTTGGTGAGTCGAGATTGACTGAAAGAGTTTGAAGTTAAAAAAGTTTCCTACTGATGCATGTGAGTTTACTTACACCAGACAGAGGGTTGGACAGTCTTAGAGCGAGTGGCGCTGCTGACAGGGAAGGAAGCCGGAAACTATTGTTCGTCTCGTTACTTCTACGATTCGTGAAAATAACTGTAAGTACTGGGTTATATTTTCATTTTGGAGTAGCTTTGTTTGCGTATAAGAAGGTTCTAGGTCACCCCTATTAGGACAAACAGGGATACGCACACCGTGGGTGGATGTATGGTAATATATTCTCAAATTTTTTTTTAATGCTGGTTTAGTGATTAAGTGTAGGCATGTTTAGTTGGAGTACCAAGCTCCTCAGACCGCTTGAATAACGTGTTGATAGAAATGTGCTTCAGTGAATGAAAACCTTGCCCCTCTTTAGGCCTGAAAGTTTTAATGATAAAATTTTTCATTTATTTTATGGTAGAGGACTCAACGAATTATATTGCAAAATAAGTGAAATTCCATTAATCCTTCTGGTTGCTTTGTGAAAAAATGTTATGGTGAAGTTGAAGACAGCAATGAATAGTAATTGTTAAAATCTCTGGTGTTTATATAACTAAGTACCAGACATTTTATTCTAATACTTTGTAATGCAAGAAGCTATTTGGGGGAGATTATATACGTGTATTTTTTCTAGTTCATAACTATTAGTCCCACACTTTGTAACGCTTATTGAATACTCGTCACAAATTACGTAACATTGAGTTTTAAGTTGCCAAAATTTGATATCTAGAGGAAGCGTCTGGAAACCCAACTGCTCAGTCACTATTACAGCGTCTTAAATGGCGCCGGCTGTCCTATTTACATAGCTGTAATTAGCTGATGAGTGTTTGTACGTGACAACGTTGATTTAATTTTGTCACTGGGGCCAAAGGCCATCTTTCTCTGCCTTCTTCCTTTTACCTTTTCAAAATGTTTAACTTCAATTTAATCGCTTTATAGAGCATTCTATTAACTTTAGAAGTATTCTGGATATTTTTTTCTAGATTAAGGCTTTGCTTTAAAGTTTTCGCCACTAACGTAATAATGTCTTGACTATTTATTCTTTTGAATCTCCTCGAGGGTTCCCTACCATAAAGATGGCAACGTATGTTCATGCCCAAGCATAGGGATGATTTTCAAAAACTTCAAAATCATTCGCTTGTACATTACACAAGTCTGTTAACACCGTTGAACGGTGCAACTATCTTCATAGAAAGGACCAGTTTCTAAAAATTTTTCAGAATACTGTTAAATAACTGAACAGAAAATTTATTTAATTGTACATTTTCGTTTTTCATATCTTAAGCTCTTACCTTTAACTGTAAAGTCTGCGATGGATAGTACTTGCCTGAATAACGGCGGTCCGGTGATAGTGATAATGTAAATGTTTGTGTACGCCTATACATTTTGTGTATACACAACTTGTAAATTATTTTCTGAGAACTGTTTAATCAGCATTACTAACTAGGCTGACTTTATTAAACTGGTGGTGTTCGCACTTTTGTATACCCACTTTTTCACTGCTGTTCTATTCCATTCTCTCCGACCCTTTTAGGACTTAAAATTCCCCGATGTGGGTCTTTATCATAATGTGCCTTGTTTAGTATAGCTTCTGGTCATGTATAGGAAAGGGCATCCGTTGGCATGCCACTCCGCTGTGGAAAGTTACTCGTTAAAAGAAAGTTGGATTAGCGCATAATGGCGCACCAGAGTATTGGCCCCACTATCATAGTTTCAACTTTTTGCATCTTTTCCTCCATAGCTACGTGGATATTGCAGATAATGCCTCTCAAGAAGGTGAACTCTACCAGAGGTAGGAAGGCGAAACGTCCCAAGAGCCCTGAAGAGAAGCTGAGACTTGTATTTGATGATGATGATGACTACGAACAGGAGAGATCAGAGGTATGGCATGATTGAAATAGCGGGATATTAACTTCGAGTGCATTGACGAAAGGAATAATGCAAGCCATACAATGGCTTCGTAAGATAAGGGGGAGGGCAAGAAAGTTAGAGGGGGAAACAAAAGGGGCTGGTCGGAGTCAGATTTTTTTTTATATATATTTTATTTAAAAACAAAATACATTAACTAAACAAAAGTATACAGTATCAGATCGACAGACAATATAAATTAATCATTGTCTAAACACTGCAATGTGCAGTAATGTCAAATATATACACTTAATGCAGCTGATCGATGAATACTGCCATTATACATAATTCCATTAAAAGACAAAATACAGAATCCTCTTGATAAATTAGACATGTGCAACTCTTGGGTATCTTTATTGAGGAAACGTTTCACCACAGTGGCTTCATCAGTCCATACAAAGGAGAATCTTGAACAGGAGAATGAGGTAATCAGTCCCTCAACCTTGAGTCGATGTGGTCAGTCCATCAATCTTGAATAGAATGCGGCATACGTGCTGAGAAGGAGCTTATAAACCGTTGGCAGGAGAGGTGCAGCAGTCATAGGTCGTGTAACATTTGTTCAATGTTGAAGTAGGTCGTGCCCAAGAATTAGGCAAGCGAAGAATTCCCAAGACCTACTTCAACATTGAACAAATGTTACACCACCTATGACTGCTGCACCTCTCCTGCCAACGGTTTATAAGCTCCTTCTCAGCACGTATGCCGCATTCTATTCAAGATTGATGGACTGACCACATCGACTCAAGGTTGAGGGACTGATTACCTCATTCTCCTCCTGTTCAAGATTCTCCTTTGTATGGACTGATGAAGCCACTGTGGTGAAACGTTTCCTCAATAAAGATACCCAAGAGTTGCACATGTCTAATTTATCAACATGTCGGTTCTCTGAACCATTCATCTACAAACAGAATCCTCTAACCCGTTCCCATCTGCTAATTTCAATATATACGGTAAAATTACATGCCGCAAAAAAATGCAAGCAGTGTAACTACCCCCCCCCCCCCTTTCCCTATTTACCCCAGTTCACCAAAATGTACGTCATTTCACCGTTGTTTAACTTATAAACTAACCAAACTAATTTAAACCTAGGAACGTGTATTAACTCGACAGTAGTGAAAAATGAACATTAAAGTGGTATAAAATACCGACAGGTTGGTAGGTAAGACACATAGGCAACAGTTAGGCAACTTTATTCCGAAACGTTTCGCCTACACAGTAGGCTTCAGTCGAATACAGAAAGTAAGCAGGAACAGTAGAGATATGAAGACGATGTAATCAGTCCATCACCCTTAAAGTCGTAGAATTTGAGGTTGTCAGTCCCTCAGTCTGGAGAAGTTCAGTTCCATAGTCAGGAACTATCTGAAGATCAAGTGACAGTGCGGAGACTTAAATACTGTCGGAAGGAGAGGTGCATAGTAGTAGTAGTGAGAATGTGCCACTGAGTGAAAAATGCCAGCCGCTACCCTAACTGTTTTTAATTAAAAAACATCTTAGTGTATACATTGTGCTATACACAAGCTCACTGGAGAAGACACCAACAGTCATAACGGTTCAAAATGCAATACAAAATACAAAAGTTCTACAATAAACACGCATGCCACAGACTGTAGCCATTTCCCATCCCCTATAACCTATCCACTTTTCACGTGTATACTTTCCTACATACACACGAAACACTTGTACCTAAACAAGGACAGGACTCGCAGCAATGGTTTAAAGTTGGAAAAATTCTGATTCAGTTAGGATATAGGAAAGCACTGGCTTGGTAATAGTTGTCGATGAGTGGAACAAACTCCCGAGTACAGTTATTCAGGCTAAAATGTTTTGTAGTTTTAAAAATAGGTTAAATACACGAGTAGGTGTGGGTGGGTGAGTTTTACCTGACTAGCTTGTGCTGCTGGGTCTGGTGCAGTGCTCCATACTTGAGTGGAGGCGACCAGATTGGGTGGGTCATTGGGCTAATCTGGGGGGCTGGGGTCATTGGTGTAATCTGGGAGGGGGGGGACAAGGACCTGCTCCGCATGGGTCAGTAGGCCTGTTGCAGTGTTCCTCTTGTTTGTTCTTATATAGCACACAATGATACACACCCTAACACTTAACATAAAATGACCAATACAGCTGTATTTTAGGTCACATATGAGGGAAAACTCCTCCAAAACGTTAATGCATTTAAAGCAGTACTTTATTATACGTAACATATAAGTGACAACCTCCAGATACCCTCACAACATAAATTCAAAGGGTTAATTAACACTCAAGTCTTCTACAAAACCCAGGGTGCACAGGACAACAAACATGCATAGTACGTTAAGTGCAACACAATACATGTGAAGCATACCGTTCAGTAGAGAATCCACAACACTATACTGGATAACTAATAATACAAAGACAAGTTTATTATTGCAACTTGGATAAACAAAAACCAGTTGCAACTAATGCAACTGGCAAAGCCATTGCTCGTCCACATCATAAGAACCATCCCTCCCCCCCCTTCCCTCCCGCTTCCACCCCATCATACTACTACTCAGTCCTTATCTCCCTCTTTCTCCGTGCCCTCCGCATCTGTGATCCTCGGTTCCTTCCAGCAGAAATTTCCACTCTTTATAATTCGTTCTCCCGTCTTGGCTACCCTTCCCATTTCATAGACTCTGTCCTCTCACGTGCTAAACGCAATTTCTTTCTCTCCCCAAACTCTCTACTCATGGGAACTCTTCTATCCTCTGCCTTCCTACATTTCCGGTCTTTCTAATCTCAACAATTCTCTCCGTCCCTTAGACATCAAGCTTACCTCCGCCAGACTAACACTCTTCGCACTAATCTCGTTCATACCTCTCCTCCCTCTACAGATGTTCCTGGTGTCTAACTCTATTTCTTGCTCCTCCTGTCCTCTTCAATACTTTGGAGAAACTGGTCGATCTCTTTCTGACAGACTTAGGGAGCACAAAAATAGTGTTAGGCTTGCCGACACTAACAATGCTCTTTTCTGTCACGTCAGAGATCATAGCCATCCTATTGACTGGTCTTCTGCTAAAACTGTCTTCCCTACTTCCAACTCGAACAGTCGCCGTTTAGTTGAATCCTCTTATACACAACTTTCCTTGTATGAACCTTAGCCCTGGCTTCGTCTCTGTAGATGCCTTCCTCTCCCACTACATTGTAAAATGCTCCAAACTTCAGAACACCCGTGACTTAACCTGAATCCTCATTTTTTCTTCTTTTTCTTCCTCTTCCCCTTTCCTCTCTCCTTTTCTCCTCTGGGTTGTCTTTCTCTCTCCTGTCTCGTGTTTCTGTTCCTTTATTTTATTTCACCACTTCCCCTTTCACGCACCTCTGTGCGCTTGCTCTCCCTCTGTGGGTTTCTAGCTCTCTTGCAGTGCTCCCCTTCCTTTGTATTTGACTGGCTCGTCTTCCTTATTTCCCACTTCTACCACTACTACTACCTCTTCTTCTTCCACTACATCTACTGATGAAATTACACATATGTGCGGCGTCTGGTTGTCTTTGTTGTGGACGTTTCGCCATCCAGTGGCTGGCTGGATGGCGAAACGTCTACGGTGGGGATGCCCGGGTGTTGTGCATGTGTCATTTCATCCTGTCGGTATTATATACAATTCTTGTACTACTACTACTACTACTACTACTACTACTACTACTACCTCCACCTCTTCCTGCCTATATATAGCCGTCCTGCTCCTCCTCTTGTTAGTGTGACTTTGTCAATGGTCCAAGTCGGACCGAAACGTCGTCGTAAGCTTCTGTCTTTTATGTGCGGGTTATTTGTGTAACTACTCAGTCCACTTTCACGCCAGATCATCACTGTCTACCAGCCCATTGCCGTCCTGTTCCAATTAATCCGCGAAGTTTTACTAGTCATACCGCGGTACCCCTCAGGAAAGACTCAACCCGCCTACTACCATAGACGTTTCTATTTCTGCAGTTCTGTAAAATCGTGCAGCCAACACCCTGACGCTACCAGTGCCCCGTACCTCACACATTTCCCAAGACGTGTACAAATAGTCCACGATGATATTTCTTAACGCTCGTGCCACGTCTTGTCACCCCATCCACGTAGTTTTTTTTTTATTATTGAAAGTGCCGACACAGCACACACTTCTCCCCCCCCACACCCCCTTAAAATGTTTAAATTTACCGTTCTAAGAAACTTTCCTTAATTATCCTAACATTTAGGATCTGCCCTGACCTCATCAAAAACTTTAATGAGTATTTATCAAAAGTTGGTGATGCATGAACCAAACACCAACACAAAATTAGACTTCAACAGATATGAACATTACACTTCTATACACATACACCTTTATAAGCAGAAGAAAATACACCAACAATATATAATATCAATAGTAATGTAATAAATGAAAACCAAAATTTTTATTACATTGCATAACGAAGTTCACGCTTAAAATGCAAGAAAATGCACCACATGCAACATTATCAGCAAAATACCAGGATATGTAAATATTTCAAAAGAATCAGACTGACATGAATAAGTTATCCAAATGGTTCATCTTGATTTTAGTAAGATAACACCATATCACACCTTATTAACATCTAACACCACATACAAACATATCAAAACTTAACACATTCAATGATACTAGACTTTGTACCTTCTAGCACGTGCCTAACTAGTATTACATACAAATATACAATGAATATTAATTTAGGTTACTAATACCTATGTACACATGAGTACATAGGTAATTAATCAAAACTGATGCAGGAAAGTTACAAAAATTGCTAAACCTCAATGCTTCAAGGATCATAGTGAAAGGAATACCTTCTCAAGGAAAGTTAAAATTCACTTGCAAGACAAGTACAAACAGGAGACAATTCACAACCAAAAAAATATTAGTTATAAATTTTGTTATACATTAATAAGTTATATATTTAAACTTCCCTTTCCCAACAAGGGAACTAAACAAAATAGATCTCACACAATCACATCCAGTTCCTCA